AAAAAAACTGCACTTGTATTATTGGCAACCAGCTGATGACCAGATTACAACTGCTTACAAATGTATCTGAGCATTTTGTGAAGCGACAATAACAGTGTTTAACAGCTCCTTCAAAAGCAGCCACGCAGCTGGCTACAAACGCCATAATTAATTCCATGCTGGCTTCCTAAATTGTGCAGCCTAATGCCATTTGAGAGGCCTCGCACAACTTTAATTATTCAGAACTTCAATTGGCCGGCGGGTTTTTGTTTTTCCAAGAAGCAAAAGCCAATCGACTGGGAGTTGCGGTCTGTGACAAGAGGTTTTTAAAAATAAACAGAGAAATTGAAATTTTTCACATCTTGCTTCACTTTGCAGAGCCAACAAAGTGGCTCGCATTTAAAATGCCACACACATACGGACACACATATCCCCCCCAATCTCCAGCTGTGTGCTCTTAATTGGGCTTTTGGCCACGCGCCCAAAATGCAGTCAAGTTCACTTTCCCCTCTACACTGATTTAGCTACAAACTTCAAATTGAATTGAAACAGTTTCTTGCTTACTGAGCAACAATGGTGAAACTTTTCTGTAAGAAGTCAATTTTGTTTAAGCTACTTAGTATTTAAGACGGGAACAGAAACCTACAAAGATACAGAAAGAGAAACTAAGAATGCAATCAAGGAATGCAGACTGAAGAAAAATAATAAAGCCACAAAATAAAAGGAGAGCAACTCATAAGCAGAGATTGGTTAAGATATAGAAATAACTTCATGTGTGGAGGAAGACGATAGCAAACTTATCCATGTCTCCAAATAGACCGCTTTCTTTTTAGGTCAGCAACTCTTCCAACCAACACTACTTCAAATCAAAACAGATATTGACGGGTGAGAGAGCGAAATACTGAGCAAGACTGCTGGAGAAACAAGGGCCAAGGAGAAGCTTTCCAATTTCCTTATATTTGAACATGCTGTAGGCTAAATCTTTCATCACCTCATGTCTCCCTTGTGCAACCCAAAATACCATAAACAGATACAAAAATGCGGAACTTTAGTAAACGGTTCCCTCTAGTCTTCGTACAGTTCGAAGAGTAGTAAGTCGTGCTCCCTGGTGTACTTGACTGGAAGGGTTCCACTCCCTGTGAACAGTGAGACCTAGAAGAAAAACAGCTTATCCCTCAGACAGTTACACCCCTCAACCAGTACTCCTCTGGGGCTCCAGTTAAAAAGAAGCAACGGGAGGGAGGGGGGGAGGCTCTGATGGGTGGGCTTTATAAACCAATAAGTCGAGCTCCCCCTTCATCCTGTGGCTTTAATATTTCACAAGGAAAGTGCAACACACTGGAATCTAACCAATTTTCAGGGTCTAGCTTTTCTTTGTAAACGGATTACCCATTTACAAAGAAAAAGCAGGCAGACAAAGTGACAGAGACTAAGATGCAAAACTAAAAAGACGAGGCTGATGACTGAACTCAATACAGTCCCCTTATGGTTCCGCACTACAGACAGCATTTTCTACGACTGATCAAGTCAAAGCAAAAATCATTCAAATGATGAATCTGTTAGCTTCGATATGAAAGCTAAACACATATTTCAATTCTAACTTCTAAAGGAGAAAAAGAAAGGGAAAAAAAACAGAATAGTCACAGTTTTCTTGTAAATGGCGCTGGTAGCATTAAAAAAAAAAGTGTCATTAAATACAGTACCATCCTAACACGGTGTACTGCTGTGCACCAAATTTGTGAACAGGCTGAGCTGCAGCTTCAGTTCCTGAGCACATGTTTAACTGCACTGTCCAAAGCCATCATCGTTATCATCAGCTCCATAATTATCACACCATAGTTTGTATGATCAATGTAGCCAGTCATGAAGAGCAATGATACTGTTGGTTAGTGCACTCGCAAAAAACTGAGGCCTCCAGTCCTTCCTGAATAATGGGTTCCCCCTTTGGCCAAATGATGCCAGCTTACACTTTAAGCATAATTTACATTAGTGCTTGTTCTAGGCCATTGCGCAGAATGCTTGAAATAGGTCATTAGTTGCAAAATAGTCACATCATCTCTGTTCATATTGGAAGATATAAATGTAGCAGCGTGAGTCAAATTGCTTGTAATGTGTGTAATGTGCAAATACTGCCACTGGGGGGGATATACAGCACTCTGTCCTATAGCTCTGCATGTGCAAGTGTATTTAGAGAATTACTGCCTAAGGGCAATGTGGCAGAAAAGAGTTTCAGAGGGACACTGATATAGCAGCAGGGTAATGCTGCCACCATCTGGGATACTTTGGCTCCATCTCAATTCTCTACAGTCTAACTAGTTGAGGACTTATGTATATCTCCCTACGGATTTTCCAGTTTTGTACTGCGATAAGCCTTAGCTAGAAGATTACCTCGTGTTGCCAAAAGTGATTTCCTCCCTGTTCCAAGTGCGAAGTGTTTAGATGCAAATTAAACACTCTGACATCAAAATTACTTTAATAGCACTGACTGAGCTGGCAATCTTTAAGTAGAACAAATCTACAATATCAGTTACATATATAATGACCCACTTATGGTTTGTTGTGCCAACATATTTGATTATGGCACCCTAACACATTAAATACAACCAACTAAAATTGTACATAGCACGCACTCTATGCAGATGCCACCTGAAAGTTTCATGTATGCAAAAATGTTACTAGGTCTGACATCATAGGATAGTCTATGCTACTTTTATGGCAAAGTTACCAAGGTGCTCAGTCACTTTCAGCACAGCAAACATCTAAACCGCCTGCAGTCACATCAGCATATAAAATGCACGAGACTGGGACTGAGCATGTCTCTCGTGTATCTTTGAGATGCCAACCGTCTTGGAGAACACCCTAAGTGGCAAACGCATGTACGCCCTAACGTTCTACCTCGTCATTTAGATAAAAACATTCATCTCTTGTATGCTTCTGATTTCCCTGTCCTAAAGCGCTGTTGTATAAACATACACACTTTCGTTTTGTCTTGATGACAAAGCCATAAAGACCTAATGTTTGAAAGTCTGTCTACTCTTTACTGGAGCCAGTGTTATATAATGCAAGTTGCCATGGATCATTTGCATGTAAGCAATGAAGCTGAAAGGACTAAAAGTGACCCAGTCTGAATGACAATGCTGTCATGTTAGCATACTGATGATGCCAGTAATGTTTCTCTCAGTTAATAAAACCAATGGCCACATTATTTTTTAAAACATCCTCATTTTAGTTTCTAGTTCCTAGTTTTAGTCTCTGCACATAGATGACATCTTTATCTTATAAAGGATCTTATATCCATCCAGATCAACTTAGATCATGTCTTTGAAAAAAATAAAACCATTCATTAGAATTGTGAAATTACCAACTTGGATCAGGTCTAGACCTGCTCTTGATGTCATCTGGCTGGAGAAGATTCTGAGTAATTATTTACTTTTGCTTTCGCTACCAAGCTAAAGGTTTCATAGACGTAACAGAGGGTTTAGATATGTAGAGCACTCATTGATACAACAATTATAATCAATAACTAGACAAGACAAGACAAAACAAGCCTCAAAACAATTTGAGCACAGAAGGAGGATGTATCAGGTACATTTCTATCTGGTCTTTCTGAATAGGCCGTCTGCACTGACCTTGATAGACTCGAGTAACTCCTGCTACCATCACCCTGACATTTTAACCATATCACGTCCCGAACATATGTTGTATAAACAAAACATTCTTGAAAGCAGTCGAAGAACTCATTGTGAGTGGATAGTTTTTTTGAATCTTGTTTCTGCAGGTGTGTCTTCCCTCACTCACTTACATACTGCACTTTTTAAACAATAACAGAACAGTTTATTACTCATTATGGGTGATTTGTTTTTCAAATATTCTGATTTTTTTTAAAAATACATATATTATCCAGTAAGTATACTTTTTAAACTTTTATTATAAATTCTGCATCAGCCACAATGCAATGGGATCGGATCAGCAGCAACACCTAAACGTGTTGACATTGTGTCCCATGAGAAGTATTCACGAGTACTGTCCAATCATGTGTCAGCCATGCCCGTAATCTCAACTACATACTTACATACTTTTATGACAATTACTTTTACACAGCTGCAATGCTATGGTGCCTTTTTTTCTCAACATAATTAAACATACACAGAAGCTACATTCAAAAAAGAAGTCTCCCAACTGGTAAAAAAAACTATGTTTAAGATTCCAAAATTCATAAAAAATGAAACTCTTAAAACAAACAGTAATACATAACAGAAAGAATAGAACCAAAAATCTTACTTGTTCCCTCTGAATCCTTCCCTGCGGACTGTGGCAAGGCCTTCGGACACTAAGGACTCAGCAATGTTTTCACCTGTTGTGTCTAAAATAAAAAGAAAGAGAAAAAAAATGTATTACCATCACTAGTCTACCGTAATGTACCATCTGAAAATTGCAAGGGTAAAAAGACAGGCAGGGCATCCGGTTCCTAGGGAGGTCCCGTGAGTTAGAAAAAAGCAACCTATGTTTTCCACATAATGACATGGCTTTATAATAGAAATACAAACTAACGTTCAAATTTTAAAAAGAAGCATAATTGTAGTTTAAGAAATGGCACTACACCTTTCCCCAGGTAGACCATGCCGTATTCCCTGTGCATATTCTTGTATTCCACTGTGAAGCACACTTCTTTGCCGATTAGCTTCTTCCGCAGGAACTCTCTGGCTTGGAAGGCCCATGGCTACATTGCAGACAAGAAAAGGTGACATTTGACTCATCAGTAGATGTCAGTATCAGTAGATGTAAACAAATAGTAAAGACATACTGGCTCAGGTACAAGTCCAATCCTTTCTTTTGGATAAAACATGTTGGGGAACCACCTACAGCTTAAACTTCCTTTAGCCTCCAAGGTTCACAGCCACAAGACCAGCATAAAGGTGTGTTGTATTGACATGAAAATAGCCACATTAATGCTGGCCCCTTTTTAAATATGTCACTGAAACAATTAAAATTGTGTACTAACGCTATGTCCCTGATGCACATGCAAATGACTTGATTCATTTGGTCAATGTCTGAGCAAGTGTGCACATTTCCTTTATGTGAGGAACCAGCCAAATCAACAAATGCAGGTCCTTTAAATTTCATTAAGCATATGACCTGCACATCTGCGGACTCAGATTTTTCCACGACACACCATTATTGGTAACATACTGACACTGTTTCTGACAAGGCTGGCTAACTTGTTTTAGGATGCTAAACCTCTGAAAGCGTAGCTAACATCGCTCATAATAAATCTATATCCAGCTCAAATTCATTGATCGGTAATTACCTGCTACTTGAATTGACAATATTGAATAGTCTTTTTTATGCAGAGTTAACAATGGTGCTTCAAGACTCAGTAACAAGTTTAATAAACCGGTAGCAGAATATATGGTAGTAATGTTTATGATAAATAAAGTAATGAATATAAGAAGTACGATAGCCAACTGTTTAATTTACCTAGAATTACCTTAAAACCTCAAGTTGAACTATTCCTGAAACTAGCACCAGTCTGTGCATCACAGATATGTGTCAAACATAAATATAAACACAAACCACCAGAACCACTCACCTCGTCAGGGGTGTCCTTGCTGTCGGGCTGGCCCTGTGCGGCTCGGCGGGCCAAGGCCCCAGCTCGGATATTGCTGAGATTGATCTGACGCTCTGGGGGTGGGCCACCTCGAGGCTGACCCCGAACTATGATGGCACAGCCTGACAAGACCTGGCAAAGAAGACAATATAAATGGTCAGTTCGGTACGACAGCAGCAAAAGTACGAATATTGGTTAAAAACACCACAGATTCTGCTCTTAAACCATAATAATTTCACACACACAAAGATGTGAATAAAATCTGTGGAATTATTTAAATTGGTGTGACATTAAATACGATTAGTCAGTAAAAGAGGAAACCAACAGTGTGGATGCTAATGTGCCTGTACAATTGACTGGAAAGGAGCGTCGTACTACGTTACTATGGTGACTGTCATTCAAACGCAAGGCGAGATCAGCCCATGTGATGGCACAGACGATATAGTTTTTTTAAATAAAGATAACCTCCTGTCGGGTTTGACAACCATGGCATTTACACAAATCTGAGCAAACAACCTTTATCTGCTAACTCCCCAGAGTGTCTGCAGGAAGCATCACTGGGTGTTGTTGATCTAAGATCTGCTCTAGATAAATCAAAGGTGCTCCCACTAACCAACTCCACTCTCTACAAGTAAAGGCAAAACAGAGGTGTAGCTGTAACGAGTAAGAGACAGTTAGGG